GACGATGAAAGATTCCTAGAAAGGTCTGAAGAGCTGGCTAAACATTTAATTTACCGAGGCTATGACAAAGACCTGATTGCGGAGGCAATCCAAAGGGCCAAACAAACAAACCGTGATGACCTACTCAGATATGGACAGAAAGAAAAGGTTGATAGGATACCATTTATTCTGACCTATCACCCAGACAATCCCAAAGTAGGTAAAATCATCGCAAACCACTGGCCAACCGTGCAATCGTCAGACATACTAAACCTAATACTTCCGAACAAACCTGTAGTAGCTTACCGGAGACCAAAAAACCTAAAGGACATCCTAGTCAGGGCCAAGCTAACAACAATCGCTAGTCAAAACCAACCTAGTCAATCTGGACCCTGTGGCGATAAAAGATGCAAAACCTGTCAACATATGATAGAGACCAAGACATTCACTAGCACAGTGACTAAAGAAAAACTAAACATACATGGTCCAAACAAAACGTGCAAAACAGAGAATGTGATTTATCTCATCACATGTGAGATCTGTGGCCTTCAGTACGTGGGAGAAACTGAAAAGCTACACATAAGGATAAACCTTCATAGATCTGATTGGATGACAAAAAAGCTGTACAGAAGCCCGGTCGCAGAACACTTCTCCTCCCCTGGCCACACTTTCAGTGATATAATACTTATCGCTATTGCCAACAACCACAGCTGGAGTTCCGAAACCAGGAAGGAAAAGGAATCATACTGGATACGCCGCCTTAGAACATTGAAACCAAGCGGTCTATATATATATATATATATATATATATATATATATATATACCTATTCACTTAAAAGTGCGCGCACGTGTGTGTGTATGTATGTGTTGGATTTTTATCGTAGCTTTAACAATTATTTTTAGTCATATCGCTACAATGTATCCAGTGTGGCAGCTTATAGTGATGTCTAGCACTGGGTCATAATGCCCTTGAGACTAGGCCGACCAGTCCTAACCCTAACCTCCTAATACTTAGCGCCTAGCGAGACAGTTGTTAGTACCTTTTTTATAAATCTCTGGTATGACTCGGTCGGGGTTAGAACCCGCAACCTCCCTCAACTGCGGCGGACGCTCTAACCATTAGGCCACCGGAACTTAAGTATATAGTTAAGACAACAAAATACGAAGAGTAAATATTCTTACTCCATTTACCTATAGCTTCGATAACTGTATAAACAATATATTTATGATTGCCTCAAAGCTACGAATGTAAACAAATTCTTAACATCTATCTAAAAATGTCGTCCTCTGTACTACGTGTTTCTCATCCAAGCATTCTTAATTTGTTCCGTATTAAGGAAAACATGGGTGTTATCGTGGTAGTTTTTCAATACAACACCGATCGCGTTGCGTAATGGGATTAGGCATTATCGTAGCAACCAGTCTTTACAAAAATCGAAGAACGTAGATGTAATTTATAACCCCAGGCTATTTGTGTACGTATATGATGATATACGTAATATACATCATGCTTTATACACAATGACTTTCTCACTCCTCCCCAGATTATCAAAGATTACGAGTACACCTCCATAAAACGTTTCATCTTTCGCACCTAACTATAAAAAGCAAAGCCAACAAAGAAAGAAAATCGGAAGCGTTTTGCCCACAGAAAAGTTAGGCCTCTTTCTCCCTAGTTTGCATTTCACCGTATCCAACCACAACTTTGATGCTGCACGATATTCAGGATATTCATTTGTATCATCTATTTGTCCCGGTCACATTCTTATTCAGAAACCAAAGGTCGTGCATGTATTAATTGAGTTATAGCTTTTAGGTTTGATGAACAATCGGATAGAAACACTATTTGCTTTCGATAAACAATCAAGACCACAGAAGTAGTGGTATTCACTGAGCAATCTGTTTTATTAAATCCTTTGTCGTCTGATCTCAAATAAAAAGGGTACTCTTTCGATAGACGGAAATTTACTTGTACTATTTGGGGTGTAGAGATGATACAATAAATTAAGGTTATTTTTATACATTGTAAGTGTTGCTGATTATATTTCATTAAATCGATTAGATTTTAAATCTCCATTATCGCAATTTCATGCTCATCGGCCCGTGGAATACGAACATAAGGAGGTCTGAAAGTGATTTCCAATTTTTATACATACAACTTTCTTGTTCATCGCTATTGGCAATGCGTTTTAATTGTTTCCATGTCATTTTTGCACAGCGCCATCCTTTTTATTGCATGAATTGCACCGACTGTACTTACAGTACTACAGTACATTTAACCTCTGGCAATAGGATCGCTTCGGTGGCCTAAGTGGTTAGAGCGTTCGCCTTTGAGGCGACCGTTGGCGGGTTCTACCTCCGTCAGTCATCTCAAAGGCTTGTTAAAAATGGTACTAACTGTTGCCTCTCTTTAAGCTCTGGATTAGGAGGTTAGTGTTAGGACATTTCGACCTCGTATCAGGATAATTTAACTGGGTGGGACATCATGCTACATGTCTGCGGCATTATGCCCCAGTACTAGACACCACAATAAATTGCCACACTGCAGACATCGTAGCGATATGACTGAAAAATTGTTAAATGCTAATTTAAAACTCAAAATCTCTCTCTCTCTCACACACACACACACACACGCACACACACACACACACACACACACACACACACACACACACACACACACACACACACACATGCCCTACCTTTGGCAGTAGAAGCAAGAAAGGAACTGGTATAGTTTCTCAACCTAGCAATTTGCGGGGGAGGGGGATGGGCCTGTTGTTAACAGCCTTATTAAATGCAGGAAATAGATACAGATCTTCAAATAAAAAAAGCAAACGCGATTAAGTTAGCCACAAAATGATTGACAGTTGGAATTTCTAGCAATGTGTCATACGTGTACCTTCGTTTCCAACTACTTGATGTCACTAATGCTTCCTGCTTTTATTTGTCATTATAAATATAAATCTTTTGATTAAGATGATTTCATTGAAGAACAAAACCCATGCTATTGTTTTTTAAAAATATTGTCTTAATGTCGGTCGTTTTATTTAATAGACATACATAAAATGCAGGAAACATTTTTTCCTTACAGTATATGACACACGGTACTAATTGTATAGAAAAACGGGAACCAGCCTGGAAATAGGTAAATGTAAAATAGAGTATATATGGTCTTGAATGGCCAGGATTGGTTGATAATGAAAGTTTGTAGGAAAAATAATCTCTTGAGAGCTTATACTAGTTGTAACTGAAAAAAATTAGAGACATTGTTTTCTTGATGAAATTTCAGTCCTTTAACAGTCCTGAGTTTGAAACACTCTTAAATAAAATTAGCACCTGACTCTTTTGTGTGGAATTGAAAGCACACAAGCAGGTTCAGAAAATACCGCGGCTTATGTCCTTTCCTCTACACAGAAGCAGACATCCAGGTTTCATCTATACTGAAAAATATAGTTTTGATCATGAGCACTCAAAATTTTAAGTTATTGAATTTTTAATATCGTGTTGTTTACATAAATTTATTATGGGATCTGAATTAGTACCGTGAGTCCCACACCGTTTGGATGTAAGGAACTGTTTGATGTAGGGGTTTAAACTTGCATACTGTACGGAACTGATTGGTGTATAGGTTCAATTGATAATACATATATAATAAACATATATAAAACTTCAATTATTGAAATATTACATGTGTATCTAAAACATTTTAATATCATTTTGAATACTGGCTTCGTACCAGATGGTTGGACTCAAGGTGTTATTGAGCCAATTTCTAAGTTGAAAAAGAAAAAAGATATATCCGATTATAGACCAATAAAGTTAGTCAGATGTTTTGGTAAAGTTTTTTTTCTTCCGCTTTATTAAATTTAAGATTGACTAAATTCCTTGACGATACTAATTTGTTACCAGAGACTCAAAATGGATCCAGAAAAGGCTGCTCCACAAAAGACAATATGTTTCCTTTTGCATTGAAATATAGAACTTTGTAGATACTGAAAAAGAAAATTTGTGTACTTTCGAACTAGATTATGACGTATGTTGTTGTATTCGATAGCGTTAAATTAAATATTTACAATTATATTAAATAGCGCGTCTGTATGAATAATGAATACTCTAGGTTTTGTTCCTCCTGCGAAAATGATGGAAGATACTAGAATAATGTATTTCCGTTATAAATTCTCCATATTCCCAAATGACCTAGAATCGATTTTATAAGCAATGGGTTTAGATATACGCTGTACTCCCCGAACAGACTAATGTGTAAATACATACATATATAATGCTTTGTTTCTTTTATATGCTGATGTATCTGATGCCAATATACAGGATACCCTTGATATATTTAGCAGATGTTGCGATACCTGGAAATTTAAAAATCAATACACAGAAAACGAAAATTATTGTATTTGGTAAAAAAAGATCAAACATTAGAACTTGAGATAATAAAATATCTATATTGATAGGCAGCTAATATAAATATTTATATCTTATATTTTACAAGAATCGAAAGGTCTCCCGTAAATTGAAAAATCAAGAATTTATAGCTAACAATGGTATCTATTTACATGAAATGCGTATACATACTTTACATTTGCCTAACGATTGACAGGCAACATTATTCGATCAGTTTGCTGGAGCGATTTTAACATGCTTGTGAAATCTGTGGATTTTATTAAGATAGGATAATATAGTTTTAACAAATAATCTTTCCTTCCAAAGGAATATACTTTTGTAAAGAAATGTACCACACCCCTAATATATGGTATCAAGTGTTGTGTGGTTTTTATAATTTTAAAACGTATTTTAACAATTTTTCAGTCTTATCGCTACGATGTCTGCAGTGTGGCAGTTTATAGTGATGTCTAGCACTGGGCATCATGCCGCAGACATGTAGCATGATGTCCCACTCAGTCACATTATCCTGACACCAGGCTGACCAGTCTTAACACTAACCTCTTAATGCTGAGCGTCAAGCGAGGCAGCTGTTAGAACCATTTTTGTAAGACTTTGGTATGACTCGACCGGGGATCGAACCCATGACCTCCCGCATCCGAGGCGGACGCTCTAACCACCACCAGATCACAGGAGCGGTTCTCCTTATTTATCAACATTAAAAATCGCATGATAAACTACTGCTAGACTAGTCAGTGGTCTAATGATGCAGTCTCTTGTTCAAACATTTTTGTGGCAACACTTATGACGGTCAATTTATGTTGAAAATAAATCTATAGTATATAATGTTAGGTTTAGCTATGTATGAAGAACCAAGGAGACGTGTCAGCTAAATATTTATTTAAAGCTAGGTTTGATTTTGAAATAGACTAACATTGAAAACATTATCTGTAATGTTAAATAAGCTTAGAAACACAAATCATAGGTTTACTGACGATGCTTGAAGATGGGACAGAGTTCCATATAACAAACGGTATTAGAAACTCTGTCAGCTGAAAGGTCACGTGTTATGTTTATTTAGTTTCTATTGTGTGTTTAACGTTTGTCCATGTTTGTATGTTGGAAGCGGGATATTTACAAATCTAATATTTGTCCATGATTGTAAGTTGTAAACTGAATATTTACTTTGCATTTGAATTTAAAGCCCGTCTTGTTTCGAGTTGGATTAGGTTTCTGTTACATTGGAAATATTCACACCTAGGTCAGGTGAAAATTTGTCTGAATTGGGATTTGCTAAACAATAAAACACATTTCTTTTTAACGTCAGTCTGTTGGAATTCATTTATGGTCAGAGTTTATAGATGTGTTGTTGACATCATATTTGGTTTAAAAGGAATTGTTTATTATAAATATTTAATTACTAAATTGTTCATTGATTGTTTTAAATTAATACATTGCTTTGGGTATTTGTGAACTCATTCAGAGAAATTCTGGATTGCAGCATTGGTTTATATCAGGATATTTATAACTATTGTAATTTATTGTGAACATTCTTTGATTTTGGACCTGCAATCAAATATTTAGGATTATGTGGAATTTAATTAACATTGTGTCGTTTGAATTTTCATTTTTGTATTGCAGGGAAATACATTGCTGGTTGAATTTATTTAAATCGTTGGTTTCACGTTCTTTTTATTATCTGTTTTAAAAGCATGGATTCGTAAAAAGTGCATGTCGCTATCTCCTTCATGTTCTTTTTTTCAAATATAGCTAATTATTACACTAAATGACTAATGTTTATAAATCCAATCAAAACAGGTAACATAAGACTCCTAAACATATGTGCATGTTCTTAGAATGTGAATAACGATTTTTGTAATCCTTGTTAACCATTATGTAATTATATGATACGCTATATTCATGTTCATTATTTTATATACCTCATACGTTGTGAACTTTACAACTGGAGTGTAATAAAATCTGGTCTTGTTTTGTTTCTTGTCTACTTAAAAGAATATAATAGAATAAAGGAGGCTTCTTAAAATCACAGAGATAAGTAAGATTAGTTTAAAGAAATAAAAATTTGAAGTACGTCAGATTTTCCGTTGGGATTTATAATAATAGCTGTGTCATGCCGACAAAATATATTAACCAAGTCAGTTTTACTAGTATACATATATGGAACAGAGTGAATGACTTACCTAGAACTCTTGTGAAATAGACGAACAGCACACACAGATTGTACCCCCATAGTGTTGCACTGCGTGAGTGTAGGAAACGCCGCTGTAGGTACTGTGTTAGGCAAATCGCATACCCCGTGCCGTTTAAGTCTAAAGCCCAACAGCCACACGTTACTAAATACACATGAATTAGATAACCTAAGGGGTATGTCGAACGTTCAATTTCAATTTCTCAATCATTGATACATGGTTAAGCGTTAATAACATGACGCTCATATTTGATCGGTCGATGTTTTGAATTTATAAAATAGTTAGAAAGGCAGCAGAAGAAACGAATATACATTAACCGTCATCACTGTCACTACCACCACAACCACAAGAACTACAACAATAATAGAACAATGACAACAATGACCAGGAAATTTGATATGGCTTTTGGGACAAAGATTTTTTGTTTAATTGGGGGAGGGGGAAGAAGGAAGGGAGATAAAAAAAAATATCGTAGAATCCATGAATAAGTATATTTTGGGCGTTCCTACGCATATGTGCACTTATAATACTTGGCCATTTTGCAAATCTGGACCAGAATGAATGCAACATTACCCTCAGGCTCCATAATGAATGAGTCAAGATCATTTATCCACCATTGCATGGAACTTTACAGAAGTTAATACAAATTAATCAGGTAAACTTGTCATGCAATTTTGAAGGAAGAATATACAAAAATGGAAAATGAAAGAAGAAATGAAGAGAAACGTTTCTTTTTGGACCATTTATTTAATGTGAAATTTTATGGTCACTTGATATTTATGTATAATTGCCAGAATAAATAAATAAATAAATAAATAAATAAATAAATAAATAAATAAATAAATAAATAAATAAATGAAAAGCACAAACTAAGGTCGTACTACTTAAGATTGAATTGCTAGGAGTTAAACCACAGAAAAGAGCCTACCGAGAAAAGGCCAGACTTAATTAATGTTGGCTACTCCATCATAAAATTTCACTCAACATTTTGAGGAGCAAAATGTAATTTAGAACTTAAAAGATTACTCGAAATTGACAGATGCAACCTTTCCATTAATCAAAGTAGTTTTACCCAGACCTATAGTCAGGTAAAATTTTGTTACGGACGAACGAGAGAGCGGTAGTCAGTGTACCATCAAAAATACTAAGGTAGGTATTTTAGGTCGAAGGACACAGGTAGCGTTTTCATCCCAAGTTACTGTAAACCAGACACAATGCAATGAAAAGGCAGTGGAAGAAAAAAATATATATGTCAAACGGTTGTTTCCTTTCTTGTGAAGAAAAATAAATATTAGAAAAAAGTTAGCGAAATAGGTTTTGGGCGTGATATAAATTAACCTTGACTCACATTAAAATACATGCCCATATACGTTATGGGATGGGAGAGAATTTGATGTTTCTTCCTTTATTTGCAGGTAATATTATTATTATTATTATTATTATTATTATTATTATTATTATTATTATTATTATTATTATTATTATTATTATTATTATTATTATTATTATTATTATTATTAATAATAATAATAATAATAATAAAAATAAATATTAATTCTATATTATTATTATTATTATTAATATTATTATTATTATTATTATTATTATTATTATTATTATTATTATTATTATTATTAATAATAATAATAATAATAATAATAGCAACAATGATAATATAAAGTATAAATTATTATTATTATTATTATTATTATTATTATTATTATTAATAATAATAATAATAATAATAATAATAAATAATATTAATTCTATATTATTATATTATTATTATTATTATTATTATTATTATTATTATTATTATTATTATTATTATTATTATTATTATTATTATTATTATTATTAATAATAAATAATATTAATTCTATATTATTATTTTATTATTATTATTATTATTATTATTATTATTATTATTATTATTATTATTATTATTATTATTATTATTATTATTATTATTATTATTATTATTATTATTATTATTATTATTATTATTATTATTATTATTATTATTATTATTATTATTATTATTATTATTATTATTATTATTATTATTATTATTATTATTATTATTATTATTATTATTATTATTATTATTATTATTATATGCCGAGATTGTTTTCTTGCAGAACTTTATCAAGTAAAATAATCTTTCAAACATTACTCTTAATTAATGTTCATTTACTCAGTTGAAATATAAAATCTAAAATTAATTTCATTTTGCAATTTAAATTTTTTTTTATAGACAACATCATTTAAGAGATGTTGGTCTCTCATCTTTTGTATGTCTTAATGTTGGATTTTTCTTTAAAGCGACGTCAGTATTGGAAGATAAAGCATTGTGCCTAATGGCAGTGTGTGTATGTAGAATATCGTCTAAATACTACAAACATTTGCCTTTTTACCCAAGCCTGAAAGTTTCCAAACAGATATATGCAGTTGCTTTAACGTCAGTTACCTTGGACAAGACAGCATAAATTTAAAATACAATACTCCGAAATCGGTTAAAATAATAGAAGAAATCTTGTGACAGGTCACTACATAACAGACATTTTTTTGGGACAAAAGCGAAACACTTTTGGAGAACTTTAAATTTTTCCAGTCATGTTTTCACCCGAACTGTCTAAGGATTCCAAATGTAGAACTGGCCCGATGCGCTGTCGTGCATGTCTCAACAGGATACTTAGAGCGCCGGATGTGGGTCACACATGAATCCAGATCCTACCACAGGAGTGGTCTGAGTCGACTACCATGGTGTGTCCTTTTGAAGGCCACTTTGCTCGAATTGTCTCAGCACTAAGAATCGTAATGTGTTCTTGTATGTACAAACACCAAACCAAACCAACAAAAAACAAGATTTCGATAATGGCTGAAATAAAATTGGATACTCCGACCGGAGATTCTGAAGCAGATTGAATTTCTGCCGTCCTTTAGTTTTGCATGCTTAACTTGTTTAAATTTGGTATAGAAATAGACTGGCATGCATACTGTAAGTGCTGTTCACTTTTCTTACAGCCTTAAGTGCTTTGCCACTTTACGTGATCGATTTCACTAGAAAGAGTATCAATTGTCAGTAGTAGGAGAAAGTAAGAATCCGAGCTCAACAACCCCTCTCCCCACCCCTCCAGACCTCCAAACAAATACAAAATACCTAGGTAACGTAATAGAACACCTGTTGCAATCAATAATTGCGCTAAGAATCCGAGCTCAACAACCCCTCTCCCCACCCCTCTAGACCTCCAAACAAATACAATAGAACACCTGTTGCAAAATATCTAGGTAACAGGTAAAATTTAATTAAGTGATCTTCCAGAATAAGCAAAATGATGTGTCAGACTCAATTTTCCAAATCATTACGATTTAGCAGAACGTGGCGATTGTGGACTAAATTACGCATTAGAATTCCAGTAAGGTAAGAGGTATT